AGTTCAATCTTGTAATATTTTTTGCTCATCTCTTTGGCACATCTCTTTAATGAGTTCTTCATAAATGTAATTGTTAAAATCACAAGAAATAAAGATAACGAGTTCACAATAATAGAACAACAGAAATGACACAACGATAGAATAAGATATTTTGGTAAAACTTAAATCCGTTTCAGTGAGTAGGGCTTCACTAGAAATTAGAAATAGTAAAATCATATTTTGAGTTTGTGCTAAATTAATTAGTTAGCAAATTTATTTATAATTTGACTTATTTAAGATAAAAAAAAATTAAGGAGATTCAATTATTCGGTTCTCGATCTAGAACCAAACTGAACCCATCGATTCTCGATTCAAATACTCGTTCGGGTATTTAACTTAAGAAAAAATGTTCGGTTCGGTCTAATTCAAGTCCAGTACAGCTCGATACTAGAGTTTTGTCCAGCCATATACCAAAGTACAAATTCAAAAGTGCATCATCCTAAGGCTTGTTACCATATTTGATATTGCAGCTGCTCAATTCATACAACCCTCTTGCAAGCAGTTCAAGTTTTGCTAGTAGCATATAAAACTTCGAATTGCACATAGTTGCCTAAACTATACTCGATCTCTCACTAGATTTCTACGTTACACAGCAACTGGAGAGAATCTCTATCTGCAGTATAATTTAACGAACTGAAAAGCCCTTTGAGAATTTCATAAACAGGAGCAATGATGCACCGAACACCCTTCTACTCCAAAATTATATTACAGCTTTGTTCATGGTCTCTTCCCGTCCTGAACAAGAATTCTTGAATGACTTGGTGCTTCGTGAAACCCTGCAGTGAAAACATGTAAAAATCCATGCATAGCGCACGCAATAGCAACTATTTACTCATCAATTTGGAGAAAATTTTGAGCAAAGGGAAAAATAATAATAATAATAATAATAATAATATATCTTGCCTTCCCAATCGAGATAGCTGAGGTTCTTCAAGCAGCATATCCTGTAGTGGTTTTGTGGGCATTTCTTTGGCACCAGAACTACAGTAGGACAAAATGAGGTTAGAGCTGTCAGCAGGGTAAGGCAGGAGATAAGCAGAACCACCTAAATATGAAGAAAAACTTCAGTTAAAATCAGTGACACCTGCTTTACCTTCCTTTTTATGTAGTGTAGTTATATTGGCAATCTTCCATTCTATGAATTAGGTACATGAGAATGTTATTGCCTAACGCAATATGAACAACTTCATTTCTGTGTTGAGATGTTTGTCTTACAAGGTTTTTATTATCCAAATCACCATTCACTTGAGCAAATAGAAAGATTCTAAAAAGGTCAAATTATCCCAATACACTCTCTTCCCCCCTTCTTTCCTAATTTTTTATGCACACACAAATGGCATAATAAAGCACACCTCTGCTGCTGCCATCCCTCGTCTCTGAAGAGGAAAAGAAAAAGAACTTAAACTGATGTACCAAAACTTCAAATTTCATCATTGTAACCAAAAGTCCAACCTACTTATAATCCAAAACCACCAAAACTAATCCCTGAACAACTAGAACTACTCACAACCCCACCAAAGACTCTCCTACTTCCAAAAGGTGAAGGGGTTGAATTAGGGGTAATATATAACTATATAAACAACAGCCACCATCAGATTGAGGGTATATGCAACCTTGGAGAAGAGATCGCTATTGAGTTTATAATGGTTTTCTCAGGGATGATAGTGCATATTTTTTACTCACATTAGTTTCAAGTTAAAGGGCTATTAGTGGAGCTCTGCTAGTTATAGCACCATGGATTCGACTGACGCATTACTATGCTGATTCATGAGTTCATTATAACTATCATTTTGGAGGGAGGTGTATTCAGCTAACTCAGGCTTTCAAAATATATTGGAGAATGGTGGTGTTAGCAGGTTTTTCCCCATACTTTTACAATCTGACTTCAATCCAATTAATATCATATTTCTTTCAGAGGATCGACAATGGTGGTTGCAATGATCTTAGGAATTGAGAAGGTGCCAATTTCGTTCTCTGCTTGTGGGTACGTAGGTTATGTCAATGAAATTGTACTACTTTTTTCGCTTTCTTTGGCTTACCCAGAAGTTAGTGTGAGTTTATTCTGTAGGCGGTCAGCGGCTGGTTTTCTACAGCCTTTTTGAGTGTCCAGAAAATAAAAGTTAAAAGTGAGAAAAACTTCACACCTTAAACACTGGAACTGGAGGAAGCATTAACAAAAACCTATTGTGATGCAAGGCATATTCATGCTTGATAGAAAGAAAGAAAAGAAAAATGTACCCGTCAATGAAATCGAGGGATAGCAGCCTGTGGTGGATAGTATAGTCACTACCAATATACGTCACGACCAGACTACCAGCATCTGGATGAGGCCAGCTTCTTGAAGTGGGGAATCGCAATACAAATGTTCCAGGATCTTGAAGACCTCCGGGACCTTGAAGTGCAGACTCTGCTTCTTCCTTCGTAATAAATCCTTCCATCCATTTGGGTAACAGCGAACTCCACATGGCATTTACTGAAGTTGTTGATAAAGTAAAAGCTACTGGGTATAACCAACACCACATTTTCTCAAAGTTTTCTTGGGAAACCAAATCTTGGCATCCAGCAATTCTCCTCAGACACTCGAAGTCCTGCAAATTCAGAACATTTTAAACAGCTATAAAATAAACATGTTGCGCATGGATAATAGTGCTAATTACAAGGTTGAATGTTTTGCTAGTTACAATAAACTGATTGAAGAGAGTAATTTTTGAACATGACAAAGCAATTGAAGTTGTCAATTTTATAATTAGCCTTTGTTGGAGCCCCATTTTTTTGAAAAAACAGATTTTGTAATAGTGATTTATTTTTATTTTTTTTGGGAAAATATGGTTGAAAAGCACGAAAAAGTTATGGGTTTTCGTGAAAATTATTTTATTGGGAGAATGTGTGGTTGAAAATAAATTTCGAGAAAAATTGATATAGTACATCACAACTACAATTGATAGTTTCACTT